TTTATGAAGAAAATAAATGTAAAACTGGCAAGTAGTAAGTGTTCAATAAGTGTTATCTATTATTGTTATGGTATTGTTTATCCTGCTTGGCTGTTTACTCTGCTCCAAATGTAGAAATAATGAAGTTAAAAAGAAAAGGAAAAGATATATATTCAACAAGATAAACATCTCCAGGAACTAACATGGAAAAAGAAATATGCAGTTAAGATTCTGGGTTCAGTAGCTGGTGGAAATAACTCTGTGCAGGGAACTGGAGCCAGATATCCTGGATGAAATTTGGAGCTGCGGTGGCTTGGGTTGATAGAAGGCTGAACTCATTTGCTTCAGGCTATTGCTTTAAAAAGCTATGGAAGACACAGAAATGGCCTAGCTGCCAAGTGGCTTAGAGTCAGGAACTGAAATTTCCCCACTATCACCTAATGCAAGAGCACTGGTCATGGGCTCTACAATAGGAGTGGCCTACCCTAAATTACTGGGGAAGTCTGAGCCTGTGAAAACCTGAGGAAGACCTTTACTTAGAAAATAAATGCACCAGAAGATAAAGTAACTCAGAACTGTAATGGAAATAGTAGAACCATTTCTAAATGACTGTAAATATTTTAAGGATCTTTCAAAAAAGATAAAAGAAGTAGTGCTCAGCTGAGTGGGGTGGCACATAGGTCTGTAGTTCCAGCCACTCAGGAGGCTGAGGCAGTAGGATTGCTTGGGCCCGTCCGTGAGTTCAAGACTAACCTGGGCAACATAGTGAGCCCCTGTCTCAAGGAAAAAAAAGTCATCAAAAAAAATTTTATGAATCAAAAAAAAAAAAATAGGTAGATTTGAAATAGATAGCTCTATAAAAGAAAAAAATGGGACTTAATGAAATTGAAACAAAAAATATTTAACTCTAGACCAGATGTATTTGAAAGGAAAATTAATGAATTGGAAGAAAGTAGTTTATTCAGATATGACGCAGAGAAATCAGAGAAATTAAAGGATATGATTTTAAGTTGAGAAGCACCAACTTATGTAAAACTGGGAGTTCTGAAGAGGAAATAATGTGAATGCTGGAGAAACCATATTGAAAGAGATAATGAGTGAGAATTTGTCAGAATTATAGAAAAACTAAATTCCTCAGGTTGAAAGAATATGCCATTTAGATTTGAATAGGATAAACATTCACATTAAAATTTAGAGATTTTAATCCTAATTATATTAATGTATATAGAAAGAGTGAAAATTTGGATACCAGAGATTACATAGTGATAGTTGGATATAGTGATGTGTGCTTGTAGCCCCAGCTACTTGGGAATATGGGATGGGATCACTTGATCCCTGAATTTGGGCCTAAGGGCTCTATAAATAGGAGTGGCATACCCCAAACTACTGGGGAAGGAGCTGGAAAGTCTGAGCCTGTGAAAACTTGAGAAAGACCTTTATTTAGAAAATAAATACACCATCAAGACATAAATTTACTCAAAATATAATGGATATGTTAGAACCATTTCAAAATGACTATAAGTATTTTGGTAACAAAGCAAGACCCCACCTCTTAAAAAATTAATATTGGTTATATGTAGTTGGAGGTTTGTGGATTTTTTTTGTGTGTGTGTTTGTGTTTTCTAACTTTTCTGTGTTAAACATGTATATCAGGACTTCATTTTAAGCTACAGAAATGCAGTATGCACTGAATACATGTTTGGCTATGAACTGAGTGGCTAAATATCATTATAGAAAGGACCTATGGGATACCAAGTACATCAGAAACTGTAAAATAATTATTATAACTTTATTATAGATTGTAATCTTTTGATCCATATGTCTGAAATCCCAAAGCTCTGGAAACTGGAAATTTAAAAAAATAACTTTTAAAATGAATTAATTTGGCAATAAAACTTGAGCTGATATGAAGCTCTCTGTAGTATTTGTTTGACATAAATATGTATGCTTTGCTGTAGAAATATCAGTGTTTGTTAAGTGGCATGTTGTATGAATCCCTGTTGGAAAATATGTTTTTAAAAAATATGTAGTGTATATAGTTTGTCAGCCTTCCTGAAGTCTTTAACAGTCTGAATTCCAAAACACTTGGCCTCAAGGATTCAAGAAAGGGATTGTGGACCTTTATTAAATATTTAGTCAGCTTTTAAAAATTTTATATTGTGCAGAAACAATAATTTCTCATCAATTGCTAGGTGTTAATTCTAGTCACCATTCTGCACTTCTGTGTGAGATTGATTTCAAATATCTCTTTTTTGGTGGACTCTACCATAATACTGGTTCTTTTGATGTCATTGATTTATTAGGATTTTCTTTGTCTCTAAGGTAAAGACTTGTCTTCAACTTCTGAACTTGAAGATTTGGAAAGCTATCACAGAAGTGGTATCACAAATTGAAGTTTATGTGATGCTTGAAGAAGAAACTCTGAATACTTTGTAAAGTGGATTTGGAGTTGTTGCTCTCACTTAAGTGTATTACTTTTCACATTTATGTTTGTACTTGTGGCTTTATCCAGTTTCTTTAAAAAAATTGGTCAACTAGGTGAGGAAGTATATGCCTATATCCTACCTTCTTTGGAGGCTGAGGCAAGAGGATTGCCAAGTTTGATAACAGCCTGGGTAAATTAGCAACACCTTGTCTCAAAATAAAGTTTAAAACCAGGGTTGGGATGTAGCTTGGTGGTACAGTGCTTGCCTAGCATATGCAAGTCCCTGGGGTTTAATCCCCTGTACAACACCCACCCGCCAAAAAGTTGGTTCATAAACTTCAGATCTCGAAAATAGTGAATTACTTTCAATATAAGAACATTCGAGTTTTCTTTTGCATTTTGGCTCTCATTGCATGCATGCTGACTTGCATACTTTCTTTACAATTAAGATTTCATATATATATATATAGCATTTACTATGTAAGAAATTCTTCTCAAGACACATTAGTTTGGGTACCGTTATTAATGGGGCCTCACTATTTTGACAGCAAACCATATTTAGTTACTAGTACACCCTGCTATTTTACTACCTGCAGGCATAGGTAGCTTTTGTAATAATTAATCACTCACCAAATTAGGGAAATCATCAGAAATTATATTGCAGTGGTCATTTAGCTACTTGCCTTCTAGAGGGTGGGACTAGTCTTTGGTGCATCCCTAGTGGTATAATTTTGAAGTTTCTTAGACATTCAGTTGACCTGCCTAAATGGAAGTCCATTCAGGTATGATTCCATCATTAGGAGTGCATCTCTTGTTTGTATTTTCCTCTGGTATTAGATTTATTTCTCAAAGGGGCCATCTCAATGTAAGAAGAAAGATGGCAATTCTCAACTCCAGGCCAAACTCTGGTGAGCCCACAGGAAGAGATTATTTTTACATCTGTTTTGGGAGCATTCTGATTGGTTCTATCTGGGTTACATATTGCATTAAATCAATTACTGTATCAAATGTGGGATTTTGGCCAGCCCTGGATGGTCAAATACTTCTCCCCATCCCCAGCCTGGGGTGTTTGGTATGTAGGTGGTGCTAGAACATGTGGGAACCAGGGAGTGTAAGTGGTGATCCTATATATGGGGAAGTGGGTCCATGTTGAGAGGGACACTATAATTAGCACCTCCACTAGGATCTGTACATTGAGAACGGAGGCAGTGTCTTTCCCCTATCAAGAGAAAAAGCTATTGTAACATATAGAAAATATTCACTAAAACAACTTTCCTTCTCACCCCCCAAAACAAAACAAAACCAACTTCATTCTTCAAGGTTCAGTTGAAATCTTATCATTTTGAGAGTGGGGCGGGGATTGAACTCGGGGGCACTTGGCCACTGAGCCATATGCCCAGACCTATTTGGTATTTTGTTGGAGACAGGGCCTCACTGAGTTGCTTTGTGCCTCTCTGTTGCTGAGGTTGGCTTTGAACTTGTGATTCTCCTGCCTCAGCCTCCTAAACGTCTGGGATTACAGGTGTGCGTCACTATGTGAGGCAAAATCTATCATCTTTATAAAACTTTTCTACTCATCCAGTTTGGAAATGGCTCTTCTGGTTGTTTATATTTTGCATTACTGCAGTGTACAGTATACATGCATTTTTTTAAATCTGACATATTACTATTTGATTTAGAAAACTATTGAATAATCCTCAGTGCCTTATGACTTATGACTTCATTTCAACATAACAGGCTCCAAAGTTTTATTGAATTAATGAATTAACTCAGTATGTGTGTCTGTATGTGTCTGTGTTGCTGGTGATCGAACTCAGAGCCTTGTGAATGCTAGGCAAGTGCTCTACTGATATTTTACATTCCCAGCCCCGAATTTTTTTTTTTTTTTGTATGTAGAGGTAAGGTCTCACTGAATTGCTTAGCACTTCGATTTTGCTGAAGCTAGCTTTTAATTAGTGATCCTCCTGCTTCAGCCTCCCAGGCTGCTGGGATTACAGATGTGCGCCACCATGCCTGGCTTCCCAGCCCTGAATTCTTAACCCTTTAAAGATGGTGTAAAATGGAATTGTGTATAAGTTCTTACATATTTATGATAGTTGATAGAACCTTACTTTAAAATAGTCTTGGTCCTTTGAAATATGTTAAAATATTTTTCATATGGAGTAAGTTTGTGTGCAATATCATTCTGACACCGGAGGATAGCAGAGGCAATAGAAGCAAGAAATCAATTTCTCACCTACATCTCTGTTCTTTCTAGTGACTGTAGTGAGCTTTGACCATAGTGATGATTTTTTTTTGTATTTGTCCATGGGGAAAATTTCCTCAGAACAAATTTTATTGAAGGTCTATAGTCAGCATTGACTTTTCTTTTTTGGGTATGAGGGATCCAACCCAGGGCCTCCTTGCATATGGTAAGCAAGCATTGTACCTTTGAGCTAAATTCTGAGCCCCCATTAAAAATTTTATTTTGAAACAGGGTCTTGCTACATTGTCCAGGCTGGGCTTGAACTTGCTTTCTTTCTGCCTCAGCCTCTCTAGTAGCTGGGATTATAGGCTTATACCACCACACCTTGTGCTTGCCCAGGCACTCTTACCTGTCTCCTTTGTGTCCTTTCTCTTGTAGTAGAATTGCTTATTTGGTGGAGGAGTGGATTTTCTAAACGAGTAAATTTACAAAAAAAGATGATCTCAATCAGAATGATGAATCTCTTTCCCCAGGGTTAGCAAGTCCTTAATTAGTAAGGCTATTTGCAGTGTAATTAGAACTCCCAAACCAATGAAAGTTAAGAATACTTTTCTGAATTTCATAGTAAACTGTAATGTAAGGTACTTTGTAACCAGTGGCTAATACCACAAATGGTCTTTTTTAGAAGTTTGTCTCTATTGACTCATCCAGGAGGGGTCAGTTGAAAACAAAATGTAGCAAAGGAGTCAAATACAGATGTCTGAGGTATTTTTGAATTCTTTTAAGCTTGATACATCAAAATAAACTGTGTTTTACTCTCTGAACCCTAGAGCTCTTGAAAAACCATCTACGTTTTCAAGTAAACAAATTGAAATATGAAAAAATTATCTCCTTTGCAAGTGAACAGTTCACTGTGCTGTCTTTGAAGTTAACCACTTTAGGGATTTTAACATTTGCTTGTTTTATGGCCGCGATTGAGGAAGTCTTAAGTTCTCTCTAAAATAGTTTTTGAAATTGTTTTTCCTTTACAGAACTTAGGTCTTAGTTTGGTTGAACACTTAATCCATTAAGCTATAGAAATGATGCAGACTTACATTTGTTGTATGCAGACCTACGTTTGTCATTCTCACACACTCAGAATGAACTGATTTTATTACATTTTTTAGCATGGGATAACATGACAGGGCACATTAAAGCATATGTTAAAAGTATGCTGACAAAATTCTACTTTGTCTTGTCTGTTTTATGTAAGTATTTATCCAAATGTATGGAATTGCATAGATTATTTGAATTTGAGATATTATAATCAAATATGGCTACATTATCAAATTTAGTAAGTAATACTAAATGTTTGGTATTAAAAATATTATTTTAGTAAAATAACTCAAAAAAGATCTTGGTGTATGCGTGGGTGTAGATTCTTCTTTACATGGTAAGTTTGACTTCTTTGTATTCATTCTTATGTTTGATTACAAGGATATTCTTTAGAAAAATATGTAAGCTCTCTGTAACATTCCTTCCCTAGATACAGTACAAATAAGTACATTTTTCCACTAGAGAAAAACCACTACATCAGAGATCTTTGACCTCAGTTCCCTGTGAAGCTTGATCATATTTTTGAGAAGACTCATTAGTATCCCTTAGATATCAAGTCAGTTGTAGAGGTCTTTAAATGTTTGTTTGTGTAGATATTACTTTAACTCATAAAACAGGTTAGGGCAGGCTCTCAGCCATTCCCATTTCGAAAACTACTTTGATATTTCCAAAGACTGCTTGGGAATGCTAATGGGAATGGGGGAAGGAGTAGTGGGTAGGAGATGGCTAAGAGGCATCTAGGCATGGTGGGAAAGGTTCTAGAGTTTCCTGCAAAACATGGAATTGAGTGTGAAAGCACCTGCAGACCTCATAATCATCCAGATATGGCTTTGAAATGGTGGTTAATAGTTTCATGTGATTGTTGGTTTAACATATTTAACATATTTTAACATATTTTAGACTTTAGATTGTTATTGTTGATGAAGTACTTAACCATAAAGTTGAGAGAATTCAAGCCCATAGAGATTAAGTCTCATTAGTATAGTAACACAGCTAGTTACTTACTGCTGTGTTATTTAAGGTGAGACTTAATCTCACTAGTTTTACAACTGTAACGTCATTATACTAGAACCTGGAACAAGAAACAAAGTATTTTCTTTGGAGCTTCCCCCCCCCCCTTTTAGATGAGAAATGACAAGTACTTTCACTTACATTTTCTAATGATTCTCACAAGGTCACCAGATAACATGTCTTTAGCTGAGGAAATAGATGCAGAGTGGTTAAGTAGTGCTCATTTCACACTCAGGACCTTTGACTCACCCTTTATTGCTGTTTATATTACCTTATGAAAAAAAATATATATACAATAAACACACACAACAGAGGAAGAGGGAGAAAAGTTGTCAAAGTGAATTCTGTATATGCTAGATAAGCACACTACTTAAAGAAATCTTGTAGCATTGTGTTTTATAATCTGGTTTAGACTTTTGTCTTTAAAGTTTTCTCATTCACACAAATGTAGCTTTTTCTAACCCAAGAATAAATGTTTAGAACCCAAGAATAAATTTGTGAGGATATACTTAATGGCGTGCTTTGCAAATGGATTAACTTGTTGAGTTTGAATTTTGAGCAGATTGTGTTTTCTAATGAAACAAATTTGGCTTGTGTTTTATAGTTAAAATATTCCAGTTAAGAGAAGTTTTAATATTCTAGTTAACATTTATTAATAATAATAAGTTGCTATTGGGCTGGGGATGTGGCTCAAGCGGCAGCGCACTCGCCTGGCATGCGTGCGGCCCAGGTTCGATCCTCAGCACCACATACAAACAAAGATGTTGTGTCCGCTAAAAACTAAAAAATAAATAAATAAATAAATATTAAAAAAAATAATAAGTTGCTATTATTAAAACAAAGTAGGATAACCCATACTCTTTTGCAGATGAAAAAACTAAGGTTTAGACAGTTTAAATGATGTGACTGTGATGACAGTTTTAAGTGGCCATGATAGGATCAGACCTGAATCTGTCTTATTTTAATATTGTTAGTAATTACTTGCAATTTTCTGGTCTTGTATGAATAACAATCAGCAGTGATTTGTAGTGCATGTACAAATATGTAACAACAAATCCCACCATTATGTACAACGTTACTGCACCAAATAAAAATCTGGGAAAAAATTTTTAAAAAATAGGTAACTTATAGGATGAAAAAAATCAAACAGGCTCTTTGCTTCCAGAAGTATTCCTATATAATACGTGGAACAATTACTAGTAATCTTCTAAAAAGCTGTTAATCTTTTAATACTATTCATAATTTAAAATCCTATAAAAACATTTACCATGTCTGAGATGGTAGCAGTGAAGTCTTTTCCATTAGAAATGACTCATGGTAACAATTAGCCTTGGACCTCATACAGTTTATCAAAAGTAACCTTTGTACAGAAGCAAAATGTTAAGGCCAGCTTAGTGGTACACTCCTGTAACTCCAGTGGCTCTGGAAGCTGAAGCAGAAAGCTGGCAAGTTCCAGGCCAGCAGCCTCAGCAATTTAGAGACTGTCTCTCAAAATAAAAAATAAAAAGGCACTGGGGTACTGTGCTCAGTGGTAGAGCACTCCTGGGTTCAATTTAGGGGGGAAAAAATGAAATGTACAGTTAGCCTATTTGAAGAATAGGATTAGTAAATACAACTGATAATACTTAAAAACCTCAATTTCATTATGCTTGATAAGCTTAGGAAAAAAAGTGTCGGGGGAGGAGGACATAGATCAATTCTGGGATATGTATATGAGTTTGTGAGAGACTTCTGGTATGGACTGTAATACCTATTGCTTGTTAGATGGTATAAGGAAAAGGATTTTAGATTAGTAATCAGGACACCTGGGTTTTATTAAGGTTTCTGTCTAGGTTTGTGTATTCACCTGTGAAGTGAGTAATACGGAGTACAATGTCTTTCAAACTAGCCCATAAATCAATTTGTGTTGTACAAGCAGTATATAAGAGAAATAAGGAAATATGAATGCATTGGAGTATTTAAGATTAATTATTGTTTTATTAAATGTTACTTTAGTTATGAATATGTAGGTAAAATTGAGCTGTAAAATGTATTTTTCAGTTTGGTATTCTAGTGAGGATGACTGGAAGGCTTGGCTCAGCGGGGCATTTCTCCCTCTTGTAGTTTGAGAGACTTTTTTCTGTGCAGTTTCTTCTGTCAGGTTGTTGAACTTCTTTTTTTTTTTTTTTTTAAACTTTTATTTTTTAGTTGTAGGTAGACACAATACCATTATTTTATTTTCATTTGGTGCTCAGGATCAAACCCAGTGCCTAACGCATGCTAGGTGAGTGCTCTACCTCTGAGCCACCACCTTAGCCTCATGCTTGTTGGACTTACATGACAGTTGGAGGCCTTAAGAGACCAAGGCAGGAGTTTGTAGTCCTCTTAAAGGCTACCTAGTATCTGGCATAGCATCACTTCCAACATACTAATAGTATAGGTCAAAGGAGCCCCAGGCTGGTCCAGATTTAAGTGGAGAGGACATAGACTTGTCTTAAAGAAATTGTGGCCATTTAAAATCTGTCACATTTATGGTAAAATAATTTTGGAAAACATGCCGAGCCACATCCCCAGCCCTTTTTAATATTTTATTTTGAGATAGGGTCTCCCTGAGTTGCTTAGAGTCTTGCTAAGTTGCTAAGGCTGGATTTGAATTCATGATCCTCCTGCCTCAGCCTCCCAAATTGCTGGGATTACAGCATGCAGCACCGTGCCTGGCATCATTCTACTTTTTTTTTTTTTTTTTTTTAAAGAGAGAGTGAGAGAGAGAGGGGGACAGAGAGAGAGAATTTTTAACATTTATTTATTTTTTCTTTGTTCTCGGCGGACACAACATCTTTGTTGGTATGTGGTGCTGCTGAGGATCGAACCCGGGCCGCACGCATGCTAGGCGAGCGCGCTACCACTTGAGCCACATCCCCAGCCCCCTCATTCTACTTTTATATATACTCATGGCTGCTAGCAGATGCCAAGGTAAAACTCTTTCTCTCTTAAGATATTATTCAGATGAGACTGCATATAAAATTCTAGACATTTGTTTTTAGTCTATCAATAGAAAACAGTAGGCACTTAGGAGTAAGAAAGAAAGAGTAAAAAGAAAAGCCTGTTTTCCAAATCTCTTTTCTTCATCCCTCTCTTTTCCCAGAACTCCAGTCTTATAAGCTTTTCCCGTCTTCTCTATTTATCTAGAAAAAACTGCAGCACCATTCACCCAACTTCTCAAGTCTCAAATATAGAAGTTACTCTCGATTCCTTTTTTCCCTTGATACCTCATATTTAGTCCACCAGCAAGTCCTGTCAGTCTACTTCCAAAATGTCTCCTGGAACCATCTACTTCTCTTCATGGCCATCACTATTTCTATGGTTATCTGTTAGCAGAACTGCTCTAATAGGCTTCTAATTTGGTCTTTCTGCTTTCTTGCTCCTCTATTCTATTCTCCATACTATGCTCAGAATGATCTTTTACACACAATGAGATCATGTTATTCCTCTGTTTAAAACTTGATTACAGTGATGGCTTCCTGCCATGCTTATAACAAAATCAATACTTCGTAGACTCATGCAGTCCAATCCCATCTGCTGCTTGCACTGGCCACATACAGCTCTTTCTCTCTCACTTGCTTTTTTTTTGCACTGGCAGTCTAGTTCTCTTTTTGGGGCTGTTCTGATTGCCCTTCCCCCACTTGGCTTTGCTTCACCTCTCTCCTTGTAGAGAGAGAACCTGACTACCTAATGTAAAAGAGACTTTCTCTACATTGATCCGCTGGTTTTAATTCTCTGTATAGCAATTTAAAAAAAATATTTTTCTTAGTTGTTGATAGACCTTTATTTTATTTATTTACATGTGGGGCCAAAAATCGAACCTAGTGCCTCATACATGCCAGGCATGTGTGCTACTGTTGAGCCCCAGCCCCAGCCCTGCATAGCACTTTTGATCCCTTGATGTTCTTATCTGTTACTTGATTATTCATCTGTATTCCTTTAGAATGTTATTTCTATAATGGCAGAACGTGGGTTTTTGTTTGTTTTTGGTACTGAGGATTGAACTGGTCAATATCCCCAGCCCTTTTGATTTTTTATTTTGAGACAGGGTTCTCTAGGTTGTTTAGGGCCTTGTTAATCCTACTGAGACTGGTTTTGAACTTGTGATCCTCCTGAACTGTGGGAATTAAAGGTGTGTGCCACCATACCCTCCCAGAGCTTGTTCTTGATCTTTGCTGAATTTCTAGTTTTGAGTGTACAGAGTAGATGCTAAATCAACATTTGATCAGTGACTAAATGAATAATTCCTGAAAGCTTGTTTGTGAAATAAAATAGATTGATCTATGGTGTTACAATAAATTAAGGAAAACTTTTAATATAACACATATATAAGGTTACAGACAATCCTTTGTGAAGGACTGTCTTTAATTCTGTAATGTCCTTTCTATATTTTTATATTAAAATGTCCTTTTCATTATTAAATGATAGTGATATTTAGTTTTATAGTTTAAAAATATGTTCTTTGCAGCAGGAATAGTTGGAAAGCACAATTGTCCTGTACTTTTAGGTTGGAGATTTTCTTCGAGTTTCAGAAATTTATATAGTTCACTGAAAATAAAGAAGCACTGTGTGGGTGTGCCTGGGAAGGGAGTTTTGCTAAAAACTCCTTCTAAATAAAGTTCGATCTATCAAATGTTCTTGTAGTCTTCAAATTCTTCTGGGAAGTAAATTGTCAGGTTACCTTTAAAAATTGTATTCTATTCAAATGTGTGATGTTAAAGTGAAATATGACATAAGAATATACAGGTAATAAAAGAAAATAATAAAGTTTTATGATTCCTTTTGGAGAAGAGAACTAATATGTTTAGCAACATTTCTTTGAATAACCTTGTCCATTCTGAAACTAATTAAAATTGATCAGCTCTTAAAAAAGCAATATGTATTGAGACACAAATAGACAGTTTTTCCTTTACTGTCTAATAAGAATTGACAAGGTCTTGAGATGTCACCTATAACACACTCCTTTGTGTTGAAGATTAGGAAACTGATGGTAAAACAGGTAATGATTTGTGAAAAGTCATATTGTTATTGATAGGTGCCAGATCAGAATTCCCATCTTTGGGCTGGGGCCGTAGCTAATTTGCAGAGCACTTGCCTAGAATGTGTGAGGTACTGGGTTTCATCCTTAGTACCACATAAAAATAAATAAATAAATAAATAAAATAAAAGTAGTTAAATATATTAAAAAAAAAAAAAAGAATTCCCATCTTCACATTCACAGGCTTCTGAACTATGTACTGTGGCCAAATACTAATTTCAGGGAGACAAGTTTTAAGAAGTTTCTCTTTTTGAAGTATAATATAGATTGCTTAAAAAAGATTATTTTCATCAATTACTAAATGAGGGTATATATTTTAAGTAACATACAGGAAAAACACTCCACATTCATGTGATGACAGCTGAGCTTTTAAGCACAATTCGAAACTGGTATTTATATTTTTAACTTTTGAGAAGTTGCAATTTAAAATTAACCAAGAAAATCAGAGTAACATTTTATTTTTGTTATCCCTGTTTTAAAAATCTTTAAACATGAAAAGATAAAGCATTTGTAAAGTAAATCATGATTTTATATATATATATATAAAATCATGTATTTTTTAAAAATATGGTCAAGATCACATTCTGCATTCTTTTTCTTTGCTTGTTTTATTATTTTTCATTTAACATTATATCATGAGCATTTTCCTATGTCCTGAAAAAAAAATCAGTGGAAACATTTTATAATAGCTCCATAACATTCTCCTATAATTTAATTAATATAGGATATAATAAAAATTTGAGGGCTGGAGCTATAGCTCATTGGTAGAGCGCTTGCCTTGCATGTGTGAGGCACTGGGTTCGATCCTCAGCACCACATAAAAATAAAGATATTTTGTCCAACTACAACTAAAAAATATTTTTAAAAAAATTTGAGAGGCTGGGGTTTTGGCTCAGCGGTAGAGGGCTCACCTAGCACATACAAGGCCCTGGGTTCATCCTCAGTACCACATAAAAATAAATAAGTAAAATAAAGATATTGTGTCCAACTACAACTAAAAACTAAATATATATATTTTTAAATTTGATATTGTTAATGCTGAAATAAGTAAGTGGATATACAAATCTTTTTTTCATATTAGCTTTTAAAAAAATTTTATTTTGCAGTATTGGGTATTGAACCCAGGGCCTTGCACATGTAGTGCAAGTGCTCTACCACTGAGCTACATCCCAGTCCTTTTTAAAAAAATTTATGTTGAGATGGGATCTCACTAAGTTGCTCAGGCTGTCCTCAAACTTGTCTCAGCCTCCTGAGTAACTGGGATTACATGCTTGCGTCAGCACACCCTGCATGTTAGTCTCTCTCTCTCTTTTTTTTTTTTTAACCGTAGTTGCCCGAAAAAATGTAGTTTTCTGATACACATTGTCAAAAAGCTTTCTAGAAATGTACTAATTTATACTCCCACCAATAATGTATGAGAGTTCTTTATTTATTGTACCCTTATAACAAACTAGTTATGTTTGAAAAGAACATTTGTATTATTTTGGGATCTGAAGCATCTGTTGAAAAGATTAGTAAGGGTGGGTTCACATCTTTGTTCTGGAATATAGAGGCACTTAGCTATTTGGGCTTATCTATTGGTTTGCTTTTATAGTGGCATATTAACCCAAGATTAGATATAATAGATAGAATATGTGCTTATTAATCTTACCAAGAGCAAACTATTTGACCCATTTTCCTTGATTCATCTGTTCAAATTGAGAAGGTTAATGAAGGTAAAGATTTCAATTTACTACTTTTCCTTAAAGGGGAATAAGCTAGGCCTTTAGGAAAAGAATACATTTGAAATAAATTGCTTAGAAAATTGATCAAAAGTAGTAATTATTCAGCAAGTGTGTGTGTGTGTGTGTGTGTGTGTGTAGATGAAATGCCAGTTTCATGGGACCCCAATGGACCTCCAGGAGCCAAATCTGATGCAGTCACACAATTTATTGCAAGCTTGAGCCTGGACTCACAACCTTTTCTGAAGCAGCAGTCCCAGGGAGTGAGTCCCAACTGACCCTTAGTTCAGTGAGGATTTATAGGTTTTTTGGGGATACTCTGTGTCACAACATCACACAGTAAATCATTTCACATCGCAGGAAAGTCCAACAACAACTCTTACAGTGATTTGCACATTCACTGGCAGGAACAAGTTGGGTAAGGGTGATTGGTTGGTTCAAGAGGTGGATACATTTGAACTGATTGGTTAAACTTGGAGGGTTGCCTAATCATGTTATCAATTACCAGAAACTACTGGGTGGGTCACCTGGCATTTCAGATATTTTCATGCTGATTGGTGGTTGCTAGGGGTTGCTATGGTTCCTCACCTATGGTAACTGAGTCCAGGACACTTGGCACACAGATCTCTCCTGTTATTTACAGACAAATAACTCAGCAGGGTGGATATGTGCCTAGGAGTGGTCTGTGGGTCTTTCCAAGGACAAGGGTCATGTCCCCTCCCTCTGAACAGGCCTTCAGGTAGAAACTGGTTGCTCAAAAATGGGAGTCACATCAGTTTTTCATACTGAGAATGACTAGGTGAAAGAAGGAATACAGAAAACATAGACAAAGAGTAAGAATTACTGTGAAGCCTCTGTGAATCAAAAGAACTGCCTTTATCTGGAAAAATGTATCTTTACTTTGGGTTCCTACCTACATCACTGACTCTGAAAGAACAATCACACAAGTCCTGTTTGTTGAAATATTTTTGTGTTTATATTTGCAGAAATGACTTGTATCTAAATGCATTTTTAAAAGAATAAGCTTTTTGAATGTTGTGATTTTAATTTTAAAAAAGTTTTGATTAAGTTAAATGCAAAGGTTCACTTATCAAAAATGAATTTGTAAAAAAAAATTTGATTTGACTTCAGTTTGATTAAATATTTGAATGTTGCAGACCTACATGTTAGAATTTAGTATATTTGTTAAAAAAACCCACTAAATTAAAATCAGCTGTTTGGTAGCAAAATTAAGGTTTTAAATTTATTAATCTTTCCCCCATTGCTGGCTCAAACCCAGGGCATTGAGATACTAGGCAAGTGCTCTACCACTGAGCTACACTCCCAGCCCAAATTTTTTTCAATCTTAATGCTAAAAATAAAAAGTATGAATTACCATTGTATGTTAAGCATGAACAAAAAGCACATTTGATTTTACAGAAGACCAAGCTTATGTTAGCTTTAGTATGCTTCCCAGAGATGTAATTTTAACTAGTGTGATAATAATTATGTTATTTTCTATGGACTCCATTAGACACTTTACTCAGCTAATTAAATTTGAATCTTTGCTATGGCCTAAAAAGTATATAATGGTTAAACTGGTTAAACTTGGGGTCAGACAGGTTAAGAACCAGATCAAGGTCACAGACCTAATAGGTTTCTACTCATTTTGACCCACAGATCAGAAGCAATTGGCCAGACTTTGGAACATAAAGAAATACAAAACTTGGTGGATATGGTGGTGCTGGAGGCAGGCTGCCACATACCTGTAATCTCATTGATTTAGGAGGCTGAGGCTGGAAGTTTGTAGTTCAAATACAGCTGCAGTGACCTTAGCAAAACCTTCAGCAATTTAGAGGGACCCTGTCTCAAAATAAATAAAAAAAGGACTTTGGATGTAGCTTAGTGGTCAAAGTCCCCCATGGCTTAAATTGCAGTACAAAACAATCAACAAAACAAGCAAAAGTTTAGCCACTGACTCCTACTGAATCAAACCTGCATTTTAACAAGATTCCCTAAATGATTTGTGTGCATATTAAAGTTTGAGAAGCACTGCTTTACATTATACTGTGCCCCATATTAAAATTTAACTTAGATTTTATACTCCTAAGGATTATTCCTGGCTTGATTTTAGTCCGTGTGGATTAACTATTAACATTTTCTGCAAGAGGAGGAGGGAATCTCTTGAATTGGTATCTCCACCACTTAAAATTGCTGTACACCTGCATCTGTGCTTTGGATTCAGTTTAATCCAGAGGAACCATTCTGCTTCTGTACATTTGGTCAAAGTCTCATGATTGCAAGTATGGCCCATTGTTTTAATGGACTTTACTTGTGGACTGAATACATCATGAATCACTCTAGACAGACATTTCCCAAATTAAAGAGAAAAAGTCTTAAGCCTAAAAACAGTGCTTTCTAAAGAAACTTGCAACTTTGGATTGGGCAAAGGGGAGGGAGGGAAATGGAGCAGGCATGGGGATAGGAAAAATGGTGGAATGAGAAGGACATCATTACCCTAGGTACATGTATAATTGCACAAATGGTGTGACTACAATCAGAGAAATGAAAAGTTGTGCTCCATTTGTGTACAATGAAATGAAATGCATTCTGCTGTCATGTATAACTAATTGAGATGAATAAAAAAAGAAACTTGCAACCTTTTGGAATATTTGATGTTTTTAGATGGCTACCAGGAAAAGCAGATTTGTATAAATTGTTCATTTTACTAATTTCATTATGTGAATGTAATTATTCTGTTACAGGAGCAATGATAGGTTAAAAAATGAATGATAATTTAAGACTACAGAACAGTACTATCTGGAATAAATATAATGCAAGAAATGATTTCAAATTTCTAGTAGTCACATTAAAAAAGAAACAGTTTAACCTTAATATATTTTTCTAATCCAGTATATTCAAAATATTATTTCAACATAAATCAATAGAAAACTTATTATAGAGATGTTTTATGTTCTTTTTTTGGTTCTAAGTCTTGAAAATATTGGTAAATGTTTATACTTACATTATTCTAGTTTGGATGTTAAAATTTCAATGGTTAAAAAGCAAAATATAGCTGGTGAGGTGGTGCATGCCTTCCCAGTCACTGACTCCAGAAGCTGGGGCAGGAGGATTATAAGTTTGAGGACAGCTTGGGCAATTTAGCAAGATCCTGCCTCAAAATAAAAATAAATAAATAAATAAATAAAAGGGCTGGGGATGTGGCTCAGTGGTAGAGCACTCCTAGTTTTAATCCCTAGTAGTGTGTGTGGGGAAACAGTCCAATCAAAACAATAAAATTGTTTTTAATGGAATGTAGGGAAGGAAAATGTGTTGATCCTTTTCTTGCACAACAGTTAAGAGAAGAGCATAGGATTCCACCTCTTGGGTCCCCTTCTTCCTCTGGGAGAAGTCTTTTCTGCTGTCCTTTAATAAACTTCTAATTTCTACTCTGGAAAAAAAAAAAAGAGAAGAGCATAACAATTTTTTTTTTAATATTTTTGATAGTAGTTTTAGGTGACATGAAAACTGTAAGAATGAAGACCCAAAGACCTAGCTAGAGTGAACTATCCATTTAATGCTTATGTTTAATTACTGTGTAGAAATACAAGTGGACAAAAAGGATATGATTTAATGCTAATAGATTTAAGTGGGAAAACTTAGCAAGATCTGACCAGATTCTTCTTGTCTTCCCCCTGTAGCCTGCCTTCCTCCTGGGGATGGGGCAAGACCTTTTCTTAAATGGTGGTCTTTTTATCTACTATCAGACAAGGTAGGTCAGAGAATTTCTTTGTGGCCAACTCCAAGACAGAAAGGCAGGGGAAGATTTATTTTTAGGCTTGTAGCTTGTTTGGGGAAAGTGATTCTATGACCTGCCTGAGAATTTCTAGTTTCTGCTTCCTGCCTTAAGTGGGATTGTGGGTGGGTGTAGATCAAGAAAGTAGGAGGTCCGAGGGAAACTTTGCTTCTGAGGCCTTCACATTTGGGTATGTTTTATGAACCCCAGCAGAAAAGCACATAGCTTCAGTTTTAACATTAAATATATTATAATTCACTTTTTCAGTTCCAGTAGCAACAATTTTATTTTTTGGGGAGTACTCTGGATTGAATCCAGAGGCACTTTAACTGAGCCACAACCCCAACCCTTATTTTGTGTTTTGAGACAGGATGTTGCTAACTTGCTTAGGGCCTACCTAAGTTGATGAGGCAGCCTTAAACTTGTGATTCTCCTGCCTCAGCATCACAAATTGGTGGTGGGATTTCAGGCATGCTGCCAATGCATCTGGACACATCAGCAACATTTTACTATATCATGGTGTTTGGTTTATTTTTGATGTATTTCAGAGATATGAAATAAATCATTATCCTCTATGATCAGTAAATGAATGTTACTGCTAATAATATAAATGTTTAAATTTAGAGAACAAAGAAGAAATAAAGAAAAGCTATTTGGGACATAAAGCATTTACTAATTTTCCCCTCTCTTAATATTCCCAAAGTTAGAAAAGCTATTTGGGACATAAAGCATTTACTAATTTTCCCCTCTCTTAATATTCCCAAAGTTAATTTTCCTATTTTAAAAATATTTTTATTAGTGGTTCACAATTTCTTAATCCTGGGACTGGGGTTGTAACTCAGTGGTAGAGCGCTTGCTTAGCACGCATGAGGTACTGGGTTTGATCCCCAGCACCACATAAAAAAATAAGTAAACAAATAAAATAAAGGTATTTTGTTCATCTGCAACTAAAAAAAATTAAAAAAATAAATAAAAAACAATTTCTTAATCCTTTAGTCGCATTGAATTTTAAGGTTAGAGTTAGGAGTTAGGGTACCTCCAGATCTGATCTTTTATCTATGGCTTGTTTTTATAACCTGCATACTTTTGAGGAAAGTGAGGTAATCTGTCAAGTGTGGCAAACAGGGTACAGTGGTGTTACTTTGAGCAGAGGGTGTAAAACTTTATGTGCATACGTGGATCACCTGGGAACACGCTGAGAATACCTGGTGTTCGGGTCTCATCCATCTAGATTCTCATTCAGTTTAGAGCCCTGGGTACTTCCATATTAACTAAACTGCTTTAAGTGTTTAAGTTCGAGAACATACGGGACCATCAGACCAGCAATTGACCGCTAAACCCTGCAAATTGGAATTTAGTACGTCCTGCTGCTGTTGCTATGAGTTCGATTTTCCCCAGAGTTGAGGTTTCCCAGGCGGTTACTCTGCAGATGGATTTTTCAGGTGGTTAAACCCTATCGCGATTTGCCCTGACAGCCTCCCTTACCCCCGTACAGTTAAAGAGACCTGAGCTTGCCGAGGTAGACCATGGCCATGTGACTGCGAAGCCAGTTGCCAGCGGCGCGGCCATTTTTGAGGCGGGCACCCAACCTCGTGCCCCGTGGGGCTGCCGACGCTGTTACCCGGACTCAAGATGGCCACCACGCCCGCTAGCCAGCCCGCTGGCCAGCCAGCGAGCCCGCGCGCCTGGGAGCCGGCACGAGCCGCTCGGGCTGTCTGCCGTGGCCCGCGGCGCCCAGGGACAGACTCTAGCTGTCGGCCGGGGGCGGAGCATACGCCCTCCCTCCGCCCGCCGCCAATCAACGCGCGAGGCCAGCTCGCCTGGGGCCGCCCGCGCGCGGGGTGTGTGAGGACGCGCTCTGGGTCGCGGAGTGCCTGAGCAGAGGAGCAGTTGCTGTGGTACCTGCAGCTGCCCCAGAGGACGCAGAGCATCGGAGCGAGCGCGGTGGTGTGGGGGCAGGAAGACGAAGTCATGTCGGTCAGGTAATGAGCGGGCGGCTGCTTAAATTGCGTCCTGGCTGGGCTTTAGCATCCCGACCTCCCGAGAACAGTTGCCCCTTCTCCTGGGTGGTCTGGAGGTTTTCTTTGCCGCCCACCCCCTCTTGTTGGCGCTTTCTCCGCACTTTTCATTAGTGCATTTCTGTTTTCCCCAGAAGTTTTTGGGTCTCTGGCACACGGTGGTGTCCTGAAAGTCGCCGCTTGGTTGAGGTGACCCTCGCTCAGATTCCAGGTTTGAAGCCTGCTTATATGTACAGTGGATTTCTCCTGACAAATGTAGTTTGCCCCTCCTCCCCCCGTTACCCAGGGCCTGAGGGAACCTGACATACACAATGTGTTACCTTGCCTGTGTGTCATGCCTTCTGACAGAACTTATTGGTTGGCCATGAGCAGACCCTCAAACTTGACCTCTCTCTGCATGTTGGTTGCATCCAAATTGTGAAATTGAGTGTCCCCTAAATGTTTGCTTGTGTCCGGAATTAGTACCGGATGATTCTCGAAGGTACCATCTGTTTACCTACTTTTATTGGAGAGTCACAAGTGAAATGAGTTTTGTGAGATAATAGGCATATAACGCAAGCAATCGTACTTTTGAATTTTTGAGGATTCTTTTATGGTTAATGATATTATAACGGGCTTGTCCATTTTTTGCATGTAGCCTTGACTTAATGTTTAACTGTTGCAAATTCAACTGTTCACTAAAAGAGATAAATTGCTTTACCTACCCAGTGTTTGACCTGCCTCTTAATGAAAGACCTTGGTCTTTCATTGCCCCAAAGAAAAGGAGGCCCAGCATAAATAAGAGAAATAAGTTCATTTGAGGGTTTTGAGCATCCAGGGGCGTAAGTTGTGGTAATTAATTCAATAGCTTCTCAATGGTAATTTTGATTACACTGATATTTAAGAGATGGCTGAAAACTTAATCCTCAGGTTAGATAAAGCAAGATCTAATGGCATTGAAGTTAGACACTATTTCTTCAGTTGCATAGTTCTGTACTAACATAGACAAGGAATACTTATCTTTTTATGCAGAATGGGAAACTCAGGTGCTGTAATTTGGAAACCCATATGGGAAAGTTTCACAGTAAGTTACATTGGGGCATGTAAATCTAGCTTTTAAATCTACCAGTGTTTTAGGATGAATTAGGATATTACTGTTATACTGAGTTAAAACCCCTTTTCTCTACTCCTTCTTGCATTTCCATCAACACAGACTGC